GCGGCCCCCGCCCAGACCCCCGCGCCTGGAGCGGGGCGCACTGGCTTCCCGACATGTGCGGACCTGCGCGGGCGGGGGCGGGCGGGGCCTGGGCGCTCTCCCAAGTGTCGCCGTTCCCAGCCTCAGTTTCCCCACCTGTAGAATGTGCGAGACCAGGGCCGGGGGCGAGCACGTCTGGGCCCCCGAGAGTGGTGCTCCCGCGCCCGGCCGGACACCTCCGCTGCTGGCGCCTCTCCCGGGGCCCCCGCTGCAGCCTCCCTCCCGATCCCCGCCCTGGGCCGGGACGCGGCCCCCACCCGCCGAGCCTCGGGGGACACAGAAGCTGCAGGGCTGGCCCCGGGAGTGTGGGCGCCTTTCCCTCACCAGGTGCGGGCCCTGGGGGCCTCACCTGCCTCTGTGCCCTGTCTTGTCCTGGCGGGGTCCCCTCGGGCTCTTCCCACACCTCTCCTCAACTTCTGCACGGAACGTGGGCCCCAAGTGAGCTAGGCAGGGACACCCAAGCTGTCCTGAGGTCCCTTTGCCTGAAGCCACCTCCAGGCCTCCAAGGTGCGTGTCCACTTGGTCCTCCTTCCCTGCCTCTTCATTCCCTTAGTGTCCCTCCCTGCAGAGGTGACCCCCAAGTCCTCAGAGTGTCCACGTTTCACCCCACCACTCTGAGTTTAATTGGCCAAGCCTCTGCTATCCCCTGACACCCTGCTGGGCCTTGGAGCTGGATGGATCTGGGTTCCAGTCTTGGCCTCTTCCTGCCCCCGTGGGTGCTCCCTGCTCCATCAGGCCGGTGGACAGCTGGTTTGCCCAACCCTGCAGTGTGTTCAGGACAGGTTCTTGCAGCTCCCCTTCCAACAGCCCAGGGAAGGCTGATGTACCCAATATACAGCTGGGGAAACTGAGACCCAGAGAGTGGCCGGCACTGGCCCGGAGGTCACGTAGCTACTCGGGTCTGTGGCCAGGGACCCGCGCTGTCTCCGTGCTGAGAGCGAGAGGGGCCAGCCTGGCTGACGCTGTCCTGCCCTCCCCTGTAGGTTGGCATCCCCAGCGGAGCATGGTGGCAGCCCTCACTCTCTGCTCCCTCGTGTGGCGCAGCTGGAAGAGCTGGCAGCCCAGGGTGCCGATGGCCCTGTATCACCGTCGGATGGCAAACCCAGTGGCCAAGTGAGCTGGCATCAAATACCAACCCCCTTCCACAGCTTGTGAATGGTAGACAAGTGACAGCCCACAGTCGTCACCATGGCGGAATAATGGTGGGAAGCCAGGCATGAGCGGCCCCCGTGGTCACCTGTGACTTCTCCTACAGAGAGGTCTGACCCCCGGCCCACAGCCAAGCCTCCCACCCGCACCCCCGCCCATGGGGCCCAGGGGGCCCCGAGCCAGCGCCTGATCCCGACGAGCAGCCCCTGGCAGCGGCATGGCGGGCGCGGAGGGCTTCCAGTACCGCGCGCTGTACCCGTTCCGGCGCGAGCGGCCGGAGGACCTGGAGCTGCTGCCCGGCGACGTGCTGGTGGTGAGCCGCGCGGCCCTGCAGGCGCTGGGCGTGGCGGAGGGCGGCGAGCGCTGCCCGCAGAGTGTGGGCTGGATGCCCGGCTTCAATGAGCGCACGCGGCAGCGGGGCGACTTCCCAGGCACCTATGTGGAGTTCCTGGGGCCTGTGGCCCTGGCCCGGCCCGGCCCGCGGCCCCGCGGCCCCCGCCCACTGCCCGCCAGGCCCCGAGATGAGCCCCCAGAGCCAGGTAAGCGGGCAGGGTCCTCCCGCCTCCGGCCCCCCTTCCCTGCAGCGACACCCCATCCGGCGTCAGGTGTCCGCTGGGGACGCTGCCGTCATTGGCGGAGCTGGGCATGGACCCCTGGCCTGGCCCTGCCCTCGGGGTGCTCACACCCAGAAGTGACAAGATCCCGACGACGCGGTGACGATGCAGTGAGGACGGTGCTGCACGGGCACAGGCTGCACGTGGCCTCTGGCTGGAGCAGGGACGTGGCGAGCGCAGAGGCAGGCGGGGTGGCCGTGCGGGGACAGTGTGGTGTCGGTGGGATCCAGAGCTCCGTCTGCAGAGGGGCTCCCCGTAGGACCCCCTTGGTGCCCTGATTGCCCTCCAAAAAGAGGGTGCGGCCTGGGGACCCCCGTGGCCTCCTCAGAGACCTGAGGCGGGCACTGTGTCCCCGGGCTGTGCTGGCAGAAGAGACGCGGGGTGCCGGCATCAGGTGAGATGGCTGCGTGCTGGTTAAGGGGTGGGTTCGGTCAGGGACACTGAGGCTCCGGCTGTAGGGAAGGCCTGCCCAGTCGGACGAGGCAGGAGACTAAGGGCATTGCTGGAGATGCCAGGCCCACTTGGTGCCCAAGGCACAGGGCCAGAGGTGCAGCCAGTGTCACGGCTGGGGGCACCAGGGGGGCTGGCCGGGCCTCGCAGCAACTGGTGTCTCCCAGGCCTTCGTCCTGTGGGGCTGCAGGAGCAGGAGGCGGCCCCGGCCGGGCTCCCATCCAGACTCTGCCGCTGCGTGGTGCCAGCTCCGCCCTCCCTGCCTGGCCCGTCCCCATCCCCGGCGCCGCTGAGCTCCACCTGCAGCTCCCAGGCCTGTGACCTCGGCTGCAGGAGGCCCGCTTCCCTGTCCAGATGGCCCCAGGGCCCCTGCATGGCCTCAGGCCCCACTGCTCTTGAGTGCTGCCCCTCCCCCAAGGCGGCCAGGCCCCAGTCAAGGAGCGCTGGCTCTCGGGGCTCGCGCTGGCTGTGTGCCGGGCTCCTGTCTGTGGCATTCCTCCCCATTTGTGCCCCCTCAGTTTACAGCTGGATCCCCAGCCACAGCAGGGACCCTGTGGCCAGAACGGCACCCACCTCCTCCTCCGTGCTCTGAGCTCCCACAGCTGCGTGCACCTGGCCCGTCACTCAGGGAGGCGCAGGCCTCAGCTTGTCCCCGCCAGGTGCCAGGGCGTCCCTGCCGGCAGCCAGGCCCGCAGATGGGCTGAGGGGACACAAAGGCCCGAGGCTGGGCCCGTGCGGGGCCTGGCGCCTGCTCCAAGGGCTTGCAGCGTCTTAAAAGGGAGAAGTCATTTTGAGAAGGAAAATTACAAAATGGGGGAAGGGTCCCGAAGGAAGCCCTTAAGGCTCAGACCAGGATGTGTCTCCTTTCATTCCATTTCAACCCTTCTCAGTTTGCCTCAGGCATGGTGGTGCACTCTGGGAGGCTGAGGCAGGAGGAATCCAAGTTCAAACCTAGCCTGGGCGATTTAGCAAGACCCTGTCTCTAAAGAAAAGGGCTGGGCGTGGAGCCCAGTACATCAGTCCTCAGGACTGGAGTGCTGGCACACTGGGGTCACGGGGCTTCGTCCCCTCCCCAGCAGTCCCAAACAGGGTGGGAGGACTACACCATTTTAGGATTTTTCCCCTGAAGAAACTATGGCCCAGAGAGGGCGGGTCCTCTACCCAAGGCTGCACAGCAGCTCTGCCAGGGGCTGGAACCTGTTGTGTGAGTTTTAGTGCTACCCTAAGGAAGCCCCACGAATCAGGTGATCTCAAACAGTAAAAATGCAGTGTCGCCTTTCTGAGGTCAGGGTTCAGGAGGCCCCCCCCCGCCCCCCGCAGGGGGGGGCACTCCTTGCTTCTGCAGGCTCCTGGGGTCTCCAGGCGGGGGCAGCAACTTTACCTGGTCTCTACTGGCCGCTGGTCACTGGACTAGCAGCGCCTGAGGCCAGGATGATCTCTTGTGAAGCCTTTGCCTTAATCCTACCTGCAGAGGCCCAGTTTCCAAATAAGATCAGAGCCAGCAGTCAGGACGGGGCCTGTCCCTGGGGCAGCTTCCGTCCAGCCCCACAACACCCGGGCCTCGAAGTGTGAATCCCTGGTGTTTCACCCCAGAAATTGTCTCCCGTGAATTCAGGCCTCTCGCTCCCTGACCTGCCCGAGCAGTTCGCCCCTCCCGACGTGGCGCCCCCTATCCTGGTGAAGCTGGTGGAGGCCATAGAGCTTACAGGTGAACTCGGGCTGCCTTGACCGCGATAGGGCGGTGCTTGCTTGGCTCTGGTGACAGGCAGCTCATCCCCACCCAGGCCTGGCCGCTGCCTGTGCCCGGTAGCCCCCTAGCGGAGGCGGAGCTGGGCGCCTCCGTGTTGAACAGGGACCGAGGGGCCCCCGGGGACAGCAGGGAGGGCTGCAGGCCTTGCAAGGGGTGGCCCACTCTAGGTTGACGCGCCTGTCCGTCCCCAGGGCTGGACGCAGAGTCCCACTGCAAGCCCGAGCTGCCCGCGCCGCGCTCAGGTGAGGAGGACGCTGGGTGGGGCCGGGCCGGTGGGGCACTGCGAGCCGCTGTCACATGTGCCCATCCTGCGCAGATTGGTCGCTAAGCGACCTGGACCAATGGGACGCCGGCGCCCTGTCCGACGCCATCAAGGGCTTCCTGCTGGCCTTGCCCGCGCCGCTTGTGATCCCCGAGGCCGCTGCCGAGGCGCACCGGGCCCTGAGGGGTGAGCCGAGGACCTGGGCCGCTGGGGGGGGTACCTCGTGGGCGCCAGGCCTCACCGCCCGCCTTGTCCGCAGACGCCCGTGGGCCCG